CTGCCGTCGTCACACGACGTCATCATGACGAGGTCGCCGTCCTCCCATTCAAGAACCGCAGGCTGGATGCAGCCATCATCACTCGTGGCATTTGAGAACTCCCAATCAAAAGAAGATTTTTCTGCGAGGACAACCAAAGAAACTTTCTTTCCATCATGTTTCAAGGCTTGAATAGGCAGCGCATGGCGACTGTCGTCCTCCATCCTAATGCCTGCGCCACCACCACCCAGAAATTGTTTGTATGGTTCTGCATTGGCTTTGAAGTTTTTAAAAAGACCAGGTAAAAATTTCGAGGTGGTACCTTGATCCCATCCAAACTCCTTTTCCTCACCACCCCGCCAACAAAAATCTGACCACTCGCGTACCTGGACGTCCAATATTTACCATCACCGACCAACTCCGTCAATGGATCCCCTGACTTGCCGTAGCCCCCAAGAACAGCCTTTATCTCTCCATTGTCCACAATAGAAGTTGGGCTCAACAGGCGGTAGACTTTTATGTCGTAATGATCAAACACAATGGCAGTTCCATTCGCCCATTTCTTTTCATTCACCGTCATCGACTTTGCAACAAGGCCAACATACAGTTCTTTATCCGTGGAGTTTGTGCAATGCGCTTCAACTATGGCCACTGCACGACCATTCACGACAAGAAGAGAAGGTGCACGGAAAGAATCAAACGCTTGTGACATACTTTTGTTCTCCGAATCATCAAACGAATCCCCTTTCCTAAGCAGCGTCGTCATTAAATTATTCTCCTGAGCGGCCTCAGCTTCCCAGCTGCCGCAGCACATCATCACAACGAGGAAGAGCAGCACCGCAGAGTAGAAGTGATGCCGAAACATGTTGGGCCTCTGCGGCTCACTCTCTCTTCCTCCCCTCCTCATGCCGCTCGATCCGGTCACGCGGCGACGGTTGTGTGTGCGGGGTGCCTTCACTGCAGCAACACGTGAGAGCATATAAATATGTGTGTGTGTGGGCGGTGTGTGTGCTTTTGGTCCTTTCAGTGCCTTCGAATTTCACAGTAGAGATTAGCGCTTGGTATTAATTTCCTTCTTGGAGGGGGGCAACAAACAACAGCGGCAGAAAGACAACAACAGCAGTACACACCGCCACCACTCACAGCGAACCACAAAATCACCATCCCCGCAGCCATTACTCCCCAGTACCCCCATCAACAGCACACAAAAATTAAGAAAAACAAGTGAGCAGCCTCACAATGAGGTACTGCAGGCCATGGCTCTGCAAATAAGGCAAGCGAAAGGGGGCCACATGTGCAGTGAGGAAAAAGAGAGTTGCGCTGCAACGGCACGGCTGCGTGATACCCCGTTGGGAGCATCGATGCAGACCAGCACATCGCCTGCAAGAAGAGTTGCTTCTCCCGCTGGGTAGAGAGGAAAAACAGCCTCAGCAGCCCAATGATGAGAGGTCGCCTGCACCTCCTCGCGGCACCTGCAGGCTCTGCAGGCAAAAAGATGCAGACGACGCTCTGCTGCACGCGTGACGGCCGTCGCACCCTTCACAACGGCAATCGCATCCTGTCGCACCACACGCCGCAGCGGGTGTGCACAGTCTCCGTCTCCCTCCCTCCTGTCCCTCTCACTGAAAACACATCGGTGGCCGTGGCAGACCCACCGACATGTCAGGAAGCACTTGTTTTTCTTCTCCCCCGCACATCGCACAGCAGCACCGCCAAACACATGCCGCTCCTTCTTTCGTGGATTCTCCTCAGACATGCCTCCCGCCACATTCATCAGCTCACAGCCACACAGTCCGTAAACGTCACGCTGCTGCCCCGCATGATGGAGCCGCACACACACCAAAATGGCACCCCGCTACTCGGTGCAAGCAGTGTCTGGACACACAGAACAGGTTGCTCCAGTCAACAACAGCTCCCTCCAAGCAGTGAGGCATGAATCGTCACCAACAACCAAAAAATCAGCCCCTCGTCTCCTCCTTCCGCCATGCACAAGGTTCTGCCTGCCCCATACATCCTCCGTGGCGCCCGGACTCTCAATGAGCAGAAAACACACTATGCGTTCCTCGGCTCAACGAGAAGCCCATTGACAATTCTCAGCCGGTCGTCTCCCCGGGCTATGCATGGAGAGCACCACGGCAAGAATGCACAGGAGCTTATATGCAGAAACCCTCAACTCATTCCACGTCAATGAAAATTATGGCATCATACATGGGCTTCATAACAATTTCAACTTGCTCTTCCCTGAGAAGTCTCCAATACACATCGCACGTGATCAGAGTAAAGAAAAAAGCAACGCCTCCAGTCCGACCGTCATTCCGCGGTGGAGATCAAAGCACAATCCAAAAAAATGCCGCAAATCATCATGTATTCTACACAGACCATCTGCGACTCATGAGGCAAATGCACAGCACGGAAGAAGAGTCATGCTCACAAACACGTAACGCGCAGAAAAAGAGGGAGTTGGGAGAAGCAGCACTAGAGAAACCTCAGCCAACGACAGAAGAGCTCGTGGGTGCAGCACCCAATGCCATTCTTTGTGAATGCAAATGACAATAACAACAAACAACGTGAAGTAACAGTCGGGCACCACATATTGGCCACAGACACCACCCACTCACCCATTCACTCTTCTCCCTCCCAATGGTGTGGCCCTCCTTCATCTCCACAGAGACGTTTGCCGCTCAGTCATGCGAGTTTCCAACGCAAGCAATCAAGGTGCGTTTCGGTAATCCAAAAGCCAACACCTCTGACAAACAGAGGAGATGCTCGCAGAGGCCACACGGCTCCTCAACGCACCCTCCAAGCCCTCCTCACGACTCTGCAATGTGATGGAGAGGAATAAAAGCGACTCTCGCGTCACAAAACGTGGCCAATGGGAGCGGTTTTCACATGCAGAGAATGCCAAGTTGCGAAACAGAAGAGGCAAGAGGAGTGCTCGCAGTGGACGTCACCTGCCACTTCTGATGTGCGCCGTCTCATTCGTGCAACAGAGAACCAACGACACGGTTGTTGCGGTGCCTGCCCGTGTGTGCACCTCACTCTCGGGCCAATGAACGCCTCAAGGAACATCCTATCGAGAGCAAGCAGCTGGCCGTGTAAACAGCACCAATTCTTGCCAACGTCCCAGCGGCCGCTCTTTTTGGCGAGGCTCCGCTCTCCTTCTTCCTTGTCTCCCGTGCACCATCCTCGTATGAAATGAAAACGCTCTCCACGACAGGTGTCGTCAAGTGCCTCCAAAGCATGAAAAGAATATCTACAGGGGCCGCTGGCCGGATCCTAAGTTTATAAATAACAGAAACCAAAAAAGATAGGAATAAGAAATGAATGAATGGAATAAAAATGGGGATTCACCGTATCCTCAAGGTCTAGCAACAAGTAAGTGTACATTTATGTATGCATACTTTGTTAGTCACCATCGTGACCTAATCACTCTATTCGGATTGGACATGTATATATATGTATGTGTGTGTATTCATAACTTACGAATTGGCAGACTTTGGGGTCCTGCAGCCACAAGAACCCGCCGCAAGGGTGTGAACTAAAAAAGGGAACGGGTGGGAAAATAAGAAATAAAAAGTTAATAAAAAATCCTTCCTGCCGTTATCGGCTCCCTGCTCCCTTCAATCACCGTCTTCCAAAAGTATTCATGCGATAGGAAAA